AAAGGTTAATACATAATTAATTCCAGTGAGACCTGTGGAGGAATTAATATTATTGGAATGTGGCACATTTATTTAAATTTCAAGAAATGTGATAACTTGACACCTACTATTCCAAGAAGTAGTATTCTCTCCTTACTTATTTCCAATTTCTCATCAGACACTGGATCATAATCTCCTAGGCAAAACTGTAATAGAATAAGGAGGGTGAAATTCTGGTCTTCCTATGACTTCATGATATATCAAAAGATCTTCAATGATCACTGAATTTGAATTCTCTTAGAAAGAGGACATTATCAGCAGAATGTGTCAGATAGAATTTTAAATTCCCATTGTCCCTAATAAGCTAGAAGTCACAGCGCCAAATAATGGATGCATTATTTGGAAGGAGTCAAGGAACAAAGCTATCCTCTTAATCTGTTATATCTCATGAATGAACTCATTAGAACTGTGTGATTCAAACAATCCATACTATCTTAAAAGCTGATCCTAGCAAAATGTCAAGAACAGCTCCGCACACCACAGTCAGTAGCCTCTTCCAAAGAGTTGAAATGATCAGCATTAGCATCAGCTCTATTTGTTTACTTATATTTTCCTTTCAAAGCATAGTCTGATGAGAAGACACATCTTACCTCCTGTTATACAGCAGTCATTCAGAAAGTTCAACATCTCCCTTATGTTTAGGCAGACACAAACCCAGGTTTTTACATCTCAATATGCCAGCTCTAATCACCATGCTATTAGAAGGGCTAAAATGGGGCACTCTCCACATCTCATTTCTATTGTGTGCAAAAGAAATAGACTATTCATTCAGCTAGAGGTGAAGGCTTCCGGTCTTACTGCTGTCCTCAGCTTTTCTCTATTATTTATCTATAAGCTTTCTTGTGCAAAAGCTGTTGTGTACTGCTTGGACATGTGTTTGTACATTCCTGCTCTGCTTCCTGTGAGGAGCTGTAGCTGAAATGAGGCCCCCCCTCAGCATCCTCTGCTCTGGGCCAAACAAACCAAGGGACCTCAGCCAACCCTCCCACATCTTGCCCTCTAGACCCTTCTCCATCTTCTTAGCCCTCCTTCCCATGCTCTCTAATAGCTTTACGTACTTCTTATGTTGTGGTGCCCAAACTTGCACACAGTGCTAAGGTGAGGCCACACAACACAGAGCAGGAGGCACTGAACAGCTCATCCATATTGTTTGGTGGCTGCTCATGGGAAAATTGTTTCAAATTGCTCTCAATCAACCATTCATTTCCACATGGGTGTGGTTTCCCCTTCTCACCAATGCTCTTTAATGAAGTGTAATGTTTGTCTGCTACAGAGCACCAATGTCCTTGTCCCATGGCATTTGCCATCTGGGAATTGCTGGCTTTCATGAGTGACTTCTGCTAGGCTTTTTGAGATCAGATACTGACTGTTGAGATAATGCATATGAATAAATAAATAAAAGAAAAACATCCAGTCTTCACAGAGGCAAGCAAGCTCAATTTCTTTTTTCCTTCTTGTATTTATACCTAATGTATATGCAGGAGATTTAGGATGCAAACTATTCCCAGTGCTCAACCTGAGCAATGAGTGCCTTTGACAGACTTCTGGTTGGCTCCCAAAACCTCAGGATTCGAAGAAAATGCATGTCTCATTCAGACTTTGTAGCACTGACCTGCAGGGCAGTGAGACATCTTCCCTCTACTCCTCACATGAGATATTTTCTTTTAAAATCTTACTTCCAAGGTGAAAGTGGTTCTGTTTCAAGCGATCAGGGAGAAATATTTGTTCAGTGCTCTCCTCTGCCTGTGGACAGTTCTTATCCGTGTTTGAGGCCATTAACCACAGGCAGAGGAAAGTTTTCTCTGTGGGTGCACTTCCCATGACTTCTGCTGAAGTCCCACCACTGACAAGCAAATGAGAAGAGAGAGGGATGCTGGAAGTGTAATTGCAGTATTAGTAGTATTGCATCCTACTCTCCTCTAAATCCTACTGAGGAACAAAAAACCTTTGTTACTGTAAGTCTGATATGCTGCTTTCCTCACTGTTTGGGTAACATAAGCAATTGCTTATATAATATACATAAGAAATCGCTGGTCATTAAACAATCCCCTGTAGAAGACACAAAATCAACCTGAAAATAAATTGTTGCTGTTTAAAGAAATAATGAAATTCAGAACTTTTACACTGACTCTACTAAATTGCCTTTGGGTTTTCCATCTAATTTGCAAGCTTTTGTACCTATACATCGTCTAACTTTTGGCTTTTTGACCATAGCCATCTTGTAATATTATTTCCGTGTGTAAATCACTAGTTCTGTCAAAATACCAGAAAACCAGGGTTTCTTTCTTGTTTTGAACTGGTAGGAAATTTTCAAGACAGTGTGTTGTGTTAGAAAAAAAAAAGTTTGCAGAAATCCTTAGGTTCCAATGAATACCTTTGTTTTCACAAAGGATCCAAAGGATCCTTCCTGCCAGCCACTTCCCTGCCTCCCTGCTTCCTGGCAGCCAGTGGGGTATGAGCTTTCCTGCTCTGCACTTTTGGAGAAACCAAGAAGTTCCTGCTGTGAGAAAGCTTTGGTTGTTTCAAAGTGAACAAATGTGCCTTCTGGTCCCAGAAAGGAAATCAATAATATTTTTGAAACAGTGTTTTGCTAGGAGCTCTAATCATAACGTTATCTTATTTGCACTCATGTTTTCTCAGCAAGTCTGGGTCTGTTGGTTCTTTTATGTGGTCCTCTGGCCCCAGTAGCTGTTTTCCCTTATTTTCCACCTCTGGAAGGGAGTACAGCACACTGGGCTCCAATTCTTCCATCCACTCCACGGAACTCTGCTTTGTTCCACCCTGTCAAGCTCATCTTCATCCTAGGTCTCCCCCTACCCTTGTTCCTTTTACTTCCCTTCTTCTCACTTACTCACCCCCAGGTTCCTGCATTAATGCTGCTTCTCCCTGCCTGAGCTCTGCCAACAATCCCAACTTTTGCATGTCTTTTGGCTGACTGTGACCCAACCATGATTTCAATCTCAGTCTCCTTGTGTAGACTCAATTTATAATATTTCCTTGGTTTTCCTTTTCTCTATTTCCAGACTCAGCTTTTCTGCCCAGACATCTTCAGCTTCAGCCCACAAACCAACACTGTTCCTCATCCTCCACTGATACCAGCCATTCCCTCTGTTCACAAGAACAGCATTCGCATTTAATGAACCTCATAACAAAGAATGTTTTGTTATCATACACCATTTTGATTTCAGGCTTCTTACTATTTTACTAAATCAAGTTCAACACACTAGTGAATCACGTAATCACTGAGACCACCAGTCACTCTGCACCCTTCATCTTTTCCAGGGTGTTGGCAGTAACTTGGCTTTTACTGAGTACAAAACAACCACTATAAGGCATAGGATAAGGCAATATCAGAGAACTCCTTATAGCACCTGCTGCTGTAAAGCAGATAGTCTTGTTTTCACCCAGTTCTGTAGGCAGCATGATTTTAGAATTAGAGTATATCTGTGCTTGGGCTATGTCTTTACATAGAAGTCTGATCTTTGGGCTATAGCAAATCTTTCTAACTACTTGCAGCTGTGCAGTGAGGACAGCAGGTGAGAGCAATGAAGACAGCTATTTTAAAGGTGAGTAAAACACTATAAAGTTCTCTTTGTTCTGAAAAAAGAATTCTAAGTAAGGGGAGTATAGAGAAATCTGAAACTGCATTAATTGTAAAACTGACATGCTATAGATATAGATAGATAATATCACTGCAATATTGAAACTGGAGAAAGAAAGATGTTAATAAAAATATGAAGAGGTAGGCAAACCAGTATAAATAATGTTTGTTTGAACGTCTGTTTGTGTGTAACAGTAAGAAAAGGAGTTTTCCATTACTTTTCATTTTTCTTATAGATGTTTATATTTACAGTGTTTCTGAGAAGGGACTTTATTTTCCTCTTTTGTAGCAGGCTCTGATGGCTTTTTAATGGGGTGAACATCAGTCATGAACGTTACAAAGAACGTGTCAGAACAAAATGTTTTGATAGTTTTCCATTTGACCACTTTTTACCTTTTTGAAACTAAAAGAAAATTCTTCAGTTAACATTCATGTGGCTGCTTTCATCGTCCTATGGAAATGGATGTAATGGTTCTCGGGTCTTCCCTTACATACTTCAAGGCACCTTTTCAGGAAACGTGATTTGTTGATCAAAGTGCAAGAGCTGTAGTGCTCTTTGCTGTAGACCCACCATGCATCTATAACTTTGCTTTTACAGGATGGCTGAATGGTGTTGACTTGCCAATTTGTTCTCGCTGCAAACAGAATGAATTTTCTTAGCTACGTATCCTTTGTCTTCCCTTGTGGCACAAACTTCTGTCCTTTTGGAAAAATAAAGTTATACATGAGTGTTAATGAACAACTCTTTCTGATTGTGTTTTCTGTTTAAAAATATTCCCTCTCAACTACAACAAATCTTTCATGCAACAACAGGGATCATTTGAAGTAGTTGCATTCTGCATATTATAAATTGAAAAGCCTAATTTCTAGTATGTTTTAAAAGAAGGATGTAGATATTTTTAAATGTACTTTAGAAAAGAAATTGTCTTAATTTCCTGAAAAATGTTTGTCAATGAAATGCTTAGTGAAGTAGAAAAAGCAAAAGAGTAAGATTAGTCAGGAGAAATATTTTTTTTTTAGTCTGTGGAAAAAAAAAAAAAAAAATCTGAAATACATCAAAGCTGATATTTGAAATGTAATTAATTCTTATTTTATCAAAAATGGTTTTCAGTCTCTCAGGGGTTAGAGTTTGAACCCTTCCATATGAATACAGAATAAATAGCAATTACTTTTGTTCCTGTAGCTTGAGGGTGAGTAACATAAATGCAAAACTTGTATAGCATATATTTAGTTTTGTTTGAATTGACCTCTCTACACTCTTCCGTGTAACAGATTCCCATTTTTAATAGCTTCTTTCTTCTCTCCCCCCATTTGAAGACTGTATTACTGTTCCGTTAATTTTGAATTCTATTTTTGTTTCAGAGACTGGGCAAAAAAGAACCTCCTGGAAGGAAGTATTTTAACCTTCTTAAGCTGTGGTAAGTTTGAAATTCCAGTCTTCATTTTCCTGGTTGAATTTTTTCACTGTTGAGCTACCATAGATATTACTGGTATGGGAGTAAAATATCTTTAGGGCAGCTGTAGATTCAAGCTAGATGAAAGCTCAAGAAGGGGAGGACATACCCTAGTATTTGTGATATTTCACTGATGTGTTCTGTACGTGCTCTGAGGTACTGAGGTGCCTTAGTCACTCTGTGAAACAGAACTGAAGAGTAGGGTCTATGCATGGTTTTCCCTGGGCTCTGTGGTTCAGGCATTTAAATTTACTGCACTGCTATATTTTACCCACTGAAGTACAATTTAGAGCTACTAATTTTTTCTAGATCATAAGATCCAGTAGATATGGCTAAACATGGGTCTGGGAATAATTATTGAAGAAATGGAGATTTTATATCTCTATTATTGTTACAGAAAAGCTTTTCTTTGAAGTAAATCTGATTAAAAGTTGACTCTTCTTGAAGATAACACACGTGTGGACCAGAGGTGCTCAGTTCAGAGTTAAGCAGAAGTTTCTGAGAGAGAAAGAGGAGCTGGTCACATCAGTGTGGAGGTTAGGCAAAAATGGAGCAGTGCTGAAACAAAGTCCTAAAAGCTTCAGACTATTCTAATATACACAGAAATGCATCTGTCTGTCGGTGCCCATGATATAACATAAGAAAATATGAAGAAAAATCAGGAAGACATGAAGATGTTGATTGCAAAAAAATCTTTCCCTCTTAATACAGTTTGTTCAATAACATTAAGCTAGGGCTGCAGCAACGTAAAGATTTAAAAGTTTATTATAACTGGTCTTGCCTTGTTAGGTCAAGGAAAGAACCATTATTCAGGAAGATACAGGACTTAACATTTAAGCAGGATCAAATTCGAAATGCTGAGCCAGAGTGTATTTTCTGTTTCCTAGAATCACTCCTCCTTTCTCTCCAACCCACTCTAAATGCATTTTCTATCTTTTTTCCAGCAGAAAATACACAAATCTCAAATCCTTGAGGAAAGTGGGTTTTTTTTAACACACTTGCAGATGTTTGCATAGTGTCTCATTATATTTAGGTGCACTATTTAGCTTGGAAGATTGAGGTTCCTGCCACCCATTGACAGGAAAAATCTGTTTTTTATGTTGCAAATATTTTCCTATACCTGTGTGTTCTGACTTGCCTCTTGCAAAGGGATGGACTTTCTAGACCTGCTAGTGAGCTTGAGGCAGATTAAATAAAATGTATCTCTCACAGTTGACCCTTTTCATTATACATTAATATGTATGTGCTGCATAATGAGTATATCACTTCGTAAAAGATCCCAGGAATCACTGCACTGTTTCTGTAGGTGGGGTTTTAGAAAATATCTCCAACAAATATAGAAGCATATTTTTAGCAGATTAAACACTTTAAATCTCATAATGTTGTCAATGAACTGATGAGGAGCTTATGGGAAATGTGAAAAGTTTTATATGAAGTATGCTAATGGAAAAGTTTGGACCTATTATTCTTAGTTAGCTCCATTAATTCTCCTTTTTCTTCAAGGTGAAAAATGCAGTCAATTAATATGTTCAGACGTATGTATGCTCTTCAAGAAAAACTGAGATATATGCTCGGTACAGATACCAAGGTTCAATAAACCAATATTTTTGATACTAATAAAAGATGATGATATGCCAAGGCAGAAGGTGAAAGTAAGTACTGACACATTAAAAGGAGCAAGCTCAGGGAATTATATGCATTACTATAGCACAAATGAGCAAAAACCATGCAACAAAATATCTCATGGCTTTGTTATGCAAATAGATGTTCAATGCATGTCAATACTAATAAATAAGTAATTACATCCTTAACTCCTTAAAAAAAAAAAAAAACCTCTTGTGAAGACTGTAGAGTGGTATGATGAATGTGATTGTATGAAATACTGTAAGTTCAGATGTTTTAAAATGATAATGCAGACTTGCATGAATAATTTACTGTCCTTTATATTAAAAAAAAAAAAAAAAATGGATCAGAGAGGAGTTTTCCAGAGATGGATAGCATGACATCTTAAAGATGTGCAGAGCTTTGTTGGTGTGGAAAGACTAAAAGTCAAGTAAAAGTCAAGTGACAGGAGCGTGTTTGTGTTTCATGTTACCAGGGGAAAGCTTGTGTTATCATACCGGGCACCTCATGGTGCCTGGCTCTTCTACTCTGGATTCACAGATTTGAACACAATTCCCTTTCTGGCTGAGGGCAACAGAGGCCATTGCCTTCAGAACGATGCTTGCCTCTCACTGAGGAGAGCTTATAAGCATGAGGGAAATCAACTTTTTACATGGGAAGATAGTGATAAGGGGGAATGGCTTAAAACTAAAAGGAGAGGAGATTTAGGTTAGGTGTTAGGAAGAAGTTCTTTTCTTGGAGTGTGGTGAGGCACTGGCACGGGCAGCCCAGAGAGGTTGTGGATGTTCTCTCCCTGGAAGCATTCAAGACTGGCTTGGATTGGGCCCTGGGCAGCCTGATTTGGTGGGGGCATCCCTGTCTGTGGCAGGGGATTGGAACTGGATGGGCTTTACGGTCCCTTCCAATTTAAGACATTCTATAGAAGTTAGTAATGTAGTAAGGTGAACCACCATCAGTTATGTATTTTGAGGGCATTTGTCTGTCTGTATTGAGTAACTTTGTATATCTTACTTGCAAGAAAACTATTCAAATGCTTATAGATGCTTATTTAAGTGGCTGTGTTGATGAGATGGTGAAAACATATTTCAGGAATCTCTTCAAAATAAATGTTGCATTGCAGGTTGTCTTGCTCTATTTAGTGTTCTTTTTTTTTTTTTTTTTTTTAATTAGATGTTCAATATTAATGTGCATCTATCTGAAAAATGGAAAATAAAGCCCTGTACTGAAGCCAGAAGAATAAGAAAAGCCTCTGAATCACTCTGACCAGTGTACTCAGAGCTTGCAACAGGCTATCAATATTTCCAGGAACTGTAATTCCAGGAGTTTTTGACTTATCTTTACTGTAAAAGTGTAGGTCTGTTACAATTTGTGTCTTTAGTCTGACTGGTCCTGGGGTGGGAGAAGAAGGTGGCATGTATGTCTTGAAGCACTGTTGGGAAGGACTGTGAGAAGACTGTGTTTGATCTGTGTCAGTCAGAATGGTGCTCTATGGTAACTGATTTTTGTGCTACAGTGTTTGCATGTGGATGTCACCAAAGGAACACCTGTGAAGTGGATAGCCCTGCCAGAACCTAGGAAAGGCAGGGTTTGTAGGCCTTTAGGTATTTGCAAGCTCTTCCACCAAAAATGCTTAGAAGGGGAAACGGTGAGCACGTGAGGGGCAGGATGATGGCATGTCAACCTCAATGCCTCAGCTGACATGGAGAATGAATTTAGGTAACAGTGGTCCTGCCTGTGAATGCTCTTCAAGAAGTCTCATCCAGGCATATGGTGGGGGAAGCTGTTAGAGCCAGCCTGCCAGGAAGAGTAGAGTGCTGGAGAAGTTTGCATATTGACAGCTGCTGTCAGAGGAGAGAAGGGACCCAAGTGACTTGCACTGAGCGAGGAAAACGTAGAGGAAGATGACAAGTGAGAGAAGCAAGGCATGACAGTACAGAAGTGCAGGGCTTAGTCCTGATGGTGATAGCATCTGGCATCCTGCAGATGGGCTTGCTTTCCTCCTTATACCACATCTCCTTCTATATTCCTCCTTCCACCACCTCAGCTACTCGGTTTTTGTTAGGCAGCATCTTTGGGCTGGGAAGGAAAATTAAATCTCAGTGAATGACCTCTCATAAGGAGTATGTTCCTGCTGAAGGTCAGTGGCTGTACTACATGTCTGTATGGATAACATGCTGCATCTCACCAGGAATAACCCATCTCTGAGGGTGGCTCTCACTCTCTTCACGTAGTGCTTCAGTTCACATCTTCACAGATCGCTTTAGTTTGATTCTGCAGTTGCAGAGATCTTCTGTGCTCTGAAACCAATCTTTTGTTCTCATGTTGGCCTAAGCTGCGCAGAAGACTAATGACAGCTCTGCCAGTGTCACTGCCACTGCCTGCCTCCTCTCTGCTCCCTCAGCCCTATCCATTCTCTCCAAGATTAGTTCAGCTTTCAAATTAAATGGAAAAAACTTACAGCCTTAAAGGAGATTGTACATATAATTTAATGGAAGAGAAAAATCCATAAATCTGCATTACAGGGCTGCTCATTACATTTAATAGGCTGATTTTACTGTTACCTCCTTCCCTGAGCAATGATTTCTCCAGTTTATCTCTGTCTTCAAGTTATATCTTATAAATCCAGTTCAAAATTTAAGTTCCTTGCAGTAGTTTCTGACCCACCTTAACATATGGATATGGCGTTCATCGTGATAGGGCTCAAGACTTAAATTGTTTCCTCGTTAGTAATTAATCATCCAGCAATTGCTTCAACATCTTAGCTCCTTGACTGCACAATGCTATCCTCGCTACAGAATTGTATAGCAAAGTTATAACTACTAATTAAATTATATAGTGCTCTTCCAAAAGGGATTTTTCAAGTACAGAATAATCACTGCGGGAAAAATTTCAGACAGAAATATAACACACATCAAATCAGTGGAAAAAGTAGCAAAGCATTCTCTAGAGCTCAAGTTCCAAAATATTTTTGCCTATGGAAGTGTCTATGAATAAATCTATTTAGGTAATTGGTTTCAGAGAACACTGATTTTTACCTAATTCTATAATAATGGGCATAAACTTTAGGAGGACTTTTATTTTAGGATTCATTTTAGTCCTATTTCTCTTAATAAGAATTGAATGCTGCAGTTTTGATATCCTTACTTTGTTGTTTATAACTGACTTCAAAAAAAAATCCACAAGATTGAACAACAATTTTTTCTGTCCTACCTTATGATTTTTGCCTGGGAAGACTCAAGAGAACTATTTGGGTATTTTGTTAGGAATTATTCCAGTTGATAAGATACATTCATCCTTCCCAATTAAAAAAAAAAAAAAAGTTTGTGTATCTGAGCCAAGTTCATTGATGTATAGAGCACAGCTAATATCAGTCATTATTATAGTCTTGATTGTACTGTGTGTTTTCTCGCAAACATGATTATAGCAAGCTAATTTACATTGCTAAATGAATGCTAAAAATATCAAAACGTTTCTCCCTGCTGGCCAGAGAGTAGTTGATCCAGTCATTCAAATAAACAGAAGTAACTACTCTGATGAAAGCTAAGATGATTAAGCACGATGTGCATAAGAAAATAGTTATTTAGCTAAGAATATGCTCTTCAGAGGAGCTGCGAAGCTCTTATTTAAAAATCACCCCAGACTAGCATGGAGGCTTTTGTGTGCCACCAGAAGGATCTGAAAAAGCTTTTACACTATTCCTCATCTCGAATTTACTTCAGAGCCTGTTGGCAGCGTGTGCTGAGGGTCTGAGCTGCAATGGCTGCATAGGAAATAATGTCTGTTTTCTCTAGCAAGGGTGGTGCTTTTGGCTCCAGCAGCTGCCATGAGATGTTTTTCCTTTTGCTACACAAGAAGCCAGAATCTGAGCAGCCCAGCACTGCAAGTAGGTGGAGCCTCGTCTTGTAGTCTGGAGCCTGTTGAGCTATGGGTGAAATCTGAGCCAGACATACAAATAATGGTGGTTTTGTGCAGGGCAGTGATTTGTTCCAGATCTGCTCTCAAGGCAGATGTTAGCACGAGAGGTTCAAGAGTATAACTCGCTTTTTTGTTGTTGTTTTTGTTTGTTTGCTGTCTACTTGAAGGCACTTGGAATATCTGTTTGCTTTCCAGCACCCACCACAGCTGTAAATGAACATCTCCAAAACCTCCAAGCTTTTCCTGTGCTGCTAAATACTTTTTCATATGCAAGTGTTGGTGTAGCTACCCAACTGAAAAACAGAACAATTCTTTGGTCTCATTCAGCCAGTCACTTTGCATCCCAATGTACCAGTATTTAGGTTTAGCTTAAGCTGCAAGAAATCTGTTTTGAATTGTGATTATCTATTTCTGCAAGCAGAAAACATCTAAATTGATGGAATGGCTGGGTGGATGAATTGCTGGGTAGTATTTCCCCCACTAAGTACTTTCATGTAAATAGAGTACCAAGATCTATCACCATCTCTCCCACCTCCAAAAATCTACATTAAAATCTTTTGGATATATTTCATTAATCATTTTGTCAAGACTAGAGATGAAAAGAGCTATTTGTATTTATGGCGGTTGGTAATTAAACATTTACAGTGCTGTGCCAATATTTAATTCACAGTGTAGAAGGAGCAAACTGAACAGAAGGTAAATCTGGCAGAGTTTATGGTAGAAAGATGCTGTGGGAATGTGCGTGTGTGAGCGGAACTGTAACACTGCAGAGCAAGTGGCGTTGCAATAAAATGTTGTAGCAGCAAATTGCTTTTCCAGTTGTGTTAGACTTTTCTCTCTCTCTTCCCTGGAAGAGAAATAAGAAAAAAAGATTTTACCCTTGAAATGATGACAAGAAACAAAAAGAGACTTTGGGATTTGGGACCACTGGCTGTTTTTGCAAAGCAATAAAGCCATACAGAATTAATGAGTCCCAAGGAGTTTCTTTTGATTTTATGGCTTCTACATTTTGTTTTTCCCTTCTGTTTCACGAAGTATTTTGTAGAAACCTTCCCCATTTATTTGAGTTGCATTCTGTGTTTTCATTTCTGCTGCAAAAGCAAGGCAGCACTCATTGCGAGTGTCTGTTTTGGTATAAAATACTACTTTTCCATGCAAGGATGGAAACTGCTTAAATGGCTCATTCTTACTGCTGCTGAAATGGCCATGATCACAAAATGCCTATGCCATAAACACAATTCATCTAACTGTCAGTGACTGTGTATGTATCTGTATATGAACTGCCTGTGTACGCTGACTTTATACCCATTATACCCCAGGCAGAGCTACAGGGAGGTCCATCTGCTGAAGGAGACAATCAAGACTGACCAAAGCTCTGCATCCTACAAGCATCTTTTTTTTTATTTTTTTATTTTATTTTATTTTATTTGAGCCTGAATCTGGCTAACTGAGCTGCAGGCATGTGCATTTTGTTCAAGTCTGAAGTTCAAGGAGACAAATCCCAGACCTTCTCAGGATTATTCCCAGGCTGTGTGACTTTCCTTCTAGTCATTGTTTGATTCTCACAAAGCTGAGAACAAGCTCTCTTCTGCTACACCATTATTGGTGCCCCTAATGGTAGGACAGTTCTTTATAGCTATGTTAGAATGGAAAGATGAAAAGTGCATCAGTGTAGCCACAGTGTAGCCAAGAGCATTTGCTGACCTGCACAGTAAGTAGATGAAGACAATCATATGCAATGTAGGTAAGGTTCACCTTGCAGTCAGTGGAAGTGCCATGGTCTCTGAATACACTTGAGCATCAGTGCCATGACTTTTTTTAAGTAGTGAAGTTGCTTGAGAAATGACTGTGTGGTGACAACTGTGAAATTAAAGTGTTTGAGTGGGACTGCATTCATGCGTAATATTCTACAAACACATTCAAGGAGATGCCATCTATCAAATAACCAGGCTCATCTCAAAAACAGCTTAGTGAAGCATTGGCAAAAGTCCCCTGCAGCCAGCCAGATCAAACTGCAAATGTTCAAAAGACTCCTGCTGATAATTGAATTCTACCTGCAGGAAAAATCCTCAGATTTTAATGTCATTGATGAAATTCTTGTATTTTAAAGGCTGTGGATCAAGACTTGTTCAATAGACAGACTGCATGGTGGCTGGGTGTCCATTAGTGAGCACTGCAGCCCAACACGAGGAGTTCCACAACGCAGATGCAGACTGACATCCTCGTGAGTGACATTTCAGGAACATTTCATGCTTCATATATTACTGACCTTACCTCCTAAAGCTTCGTGGCTTTAATCTGTAATATCTGTTACAGCATGGATCCTGCAAATGAGAAGTGCCATTAATTTGTTTAGGATTCCTCACATAAAATCTTTCATTTCTTTCTAGGATCAATATCAAAGATCATAATACATTTTAAATGAAACAGAGAAATAGTTTTTTACAGATGTTATATAAAATGTTACCCACTCTGGAACTTCCAGAGTGAAATAAATATTATTAATAATAATAAAAAAAGATCGTTATAAGAAGTGATGATCATGAAACAGTTTATTCTGGGCAATGAAAACTAGTCTCTTTAAGACCAAAGCATCTCTACCCTTTTGTTTGAACCTATGATTTCTCTCTGTGCCAAAACTAGGGAAGTAAATCCACACTATGCTTATAACAGATGTAAAGTCTTTACCTTACTGCTTTAGTAAACTTCTCTGTTGCGAGTAGGAACACCATATCATTTCATGAAGCAATAAAAAAATCTGTATTTTATGAAAAAATTTTGATAAAAATTACATATAATGTGAAACAAAATTTTAAAATCTATTCGATTACAAAGAACTTTGTTTTGTAAAAGATAAAATGGAAACAACACAGTAAAAATAGGTTATTACAAATAAAATGCCTATCACTTCCAAAGGCTTAAATTATGTCTTAAAAAATTTGAAATGAAATTTGTTTACATAACTCTTAAAAAAGAAAAGCACAATTGGACAGAATGAGCATGCATTTATTATCAAAATGTGGATGTACAAGTTGTGAAATACCATAAATGTATTAAATGTATGGAATTGTGGATGCTCTTCTTTTTTTTAAATTAAAAAAAAAGAGATTTCATGTAATCAATACCAAAGGATAATGTATGTTTCTTTCTATTCGAGACAGTTCTTGTCCAGAATAGATCCATGGAAACAGATTTCTTCAGATTTTATAACATCTAACTGTGGATCTGAGCAAATTCTTCATGTTTTTAGCTCCTTACTAAGCTGCTTTTCAGCTCAGTCAGTCTGTAAAGATCTGTCTTTGTCATATTTATGAAATACTGCTGATGTGTCTAATCCTGCATCCACAAAAGTCACTAGCAACAATTTGACTTGGCCTGGGTCACATCTCTCACTACAAAGCAGAATGCATGAAGCTGAAGAACAAAATGAAGACATTCACGGTGCAACATTGCCAATGGCCTTCAGGTAGTTAAATGAAATTATTCAGTGTTTATCCTATTTGACACCACAATCATGTATTTACATCATGTACATCTGTTATAAACTCAACAGCAGATGTTTGGAAACAGCTGTGTCTAGCAGCTCCATGAAATTCAATATTGGATCATTTTAATTAATGGAGACAGAGAGGATAGCGTAAAGCCTTCAAGATAAAGCTGGCCCCAGTGCAACTCGTCTCTTGCAAATGGCCAGAAACATGGCAATATTTGAGAGGCTGCCTAGTGAATTGTTTCAAGTTTTCTTCCAGGATTTTGAAAAGGAAAGTCAGACTTATAAAACTGTATTTTGTTCTTGATGGTTGCTTTTTTCCAGTGGCAGAGTCAGAAGTCAGAGTGAGTCTTGGATGGAAGTTCTCAGCCATTTTCTCTGTGGACTTGCCCTCATCTGGGGATCCTGCAGTAGGACTGATTGCTTGGGATCCAAGGGGCGAGTGTGAAGGCATGTGGGAGAGGATCCTTCCTCACCCTCAGATGAAAGCCTGTGTGGAGCTGTAGTTCACTAGCTGCTGCAGCCTCTTGTACAGCCATGTCCAAGCAAGTTGTTGTTACGTCCATCTTGAAGCTTCCCATGGCTCTGCAAGGATGCTCTGCTGTCTGTGCT